ACTGGACCAGTTAGATACAATTCGGTGGAAGGGGTTCCAGATGTCGATGGCCGACTGATCAACGAATGCCGAGGCCAGGATCCACTCGTCATTAAGGTTGTTCACATCTAAGTGGACAAAAGCAACCCCCACCTCCAGGAGGCGAACCCAAAAGGCATCTGGTGTCTCACCTTCTCTCTGCACTGTGCGCTGAAACTCAGTGGAATTAAAGGGGGCTGGATTTGGATTTCTTGTGGCAATGCAAGGATTCTAAACTGATGATGCTTTAACTCCACTCCCCAGCTCTGCCTACTCTTTTACGATTTTGTTTCTAACAGTTTGTTTCTTTCTTTCTTCATCCTGAACTGTGAGAAAATCTAGATACTGGCATTTTATTTCTAAGTTTCCTAAGATTTAATGCACTCTCAATCTTTACATGCCAGGCAAAGCCATCAGCTATCAATAGTAAGTATATTTGTGTAGAGACATCTATAAATACTGTGTCCTACGACAGCATTCATCATTATGATGACCACCAGATGAGTTGGGATAATAATGCAACCTGAGAATTTCTATCCAATGTTCAATCCAACTGGAGACTATCAGCTTGGGAAGAATATCCTATATACTGTGTAACTACCATTCTGAAGCTTAAATTTAGTAAGCAGTAATACCGGATGTTGGTTAATGTACTCTTAAAAAACTTTATAGTTAAATAAGGCAGTAACTATGAAATCTAAATTACATACAATTGTTTAATGTTCTGTTTATTTCATATATACTGTATCTCTAGTCATTTTGCCATACTTATCTTTTATTCAAAAAGAAAGTCTGTATGTGAAAGAAATTATATTGTGCTCTTTAGGCCAAAAGAAGAACTGAATCTGAGAAGCTCTTCAATTTCTTTAAAAAGAAATGCATTTTTATGCATTTTTAATCAAACGATATTACTTAGTTTTATTATTTATCTGGAGAGATGCATTCTTCTTTCATATATTTTGTATGTTAAAATGGTTCTAAGTTTTCACAAAATAACTTATAGCATATTCCACCAAAAAAAGTTATTTTATTATGTACCAATCATCAAAATCATCAGAGAACCTACAACTTACACAATGTACAGTTGGTCAAAAATGTACCAGGACAGTTTATACTTCAAACCATCTGAAGCACAAATAATATCCAGATGAAGAAGAAGAAAAAGGGACAATCAATGTAGATTCTTTCAAACATTACAATCCACAAGTTCGAGAATTGTATTGTTGCACTTAACAAATTAAAGTCAGCAAAATTTTGCCACTATCATCTTCCACTTTATTTGTGTATATACATTTGTGTTGTACTATCTATTAACATATACACTAATTTAAAGGAAATAGGCATAGATTAGCAATGGAACTATCTCAAAATATGTGTCATGGTTCCGATAGATGGGACCAGTAGAAATAAGAACTCTGAGGCAATTGCTTTCCTCAAAGAATACTTTTAATGGTTACATAGTATCGGCACGAACAAAGGTGAACCCAAGACTGAAAGTTCTCAACCCACCAAAGGTTATAAAGTAAAAGTTGAACTCCCCACCCCTACAGTTGTCATAAATCACAATCCCCAATTAACTAATTTGGCGGGCTTTCTAATGATATCTCCAGCCCGCCAAAACTTAGATAGCTTGACCTTGGTTCCCATAAGAAAGTATTTGTTATGGCTAAACTAAAAGAACAAAACTCCCCCTCTCCCATAGCTGTGGCAACCGAAAACCAAGTAAAGATGGCTGCAGACAGAATTGTTTGAAGGTTTGACAATATGTTCTTTGGCCTTATGACACCATAGCATAACATTTGTATTTCTCAGAAGACTGATATCTTTACCTTTTATACTAGAGCACTTGCTTTGCTGAGCATGAACTCACTAAAAAGAAATTATTTTACCAAATTAACTTGCACAAAGTAGATATTTTCTTCCTCTTTTGATTTCTCACAATTTTAAGAAAAATAAAGCCTGACAGATCCATTCTAGCCTTTCCTCTATTAGAAAAAAATTAAGAATATGAACAGAGCCAGAAATTACTACTTGTTAGCTTTACTTTACAACATGGTTATTTACAGTAACTATAAATTTAGAACAATTTTATAACTGAATTTATGTTCACAAATCTCTCATCATCATCATTTTAGCTATTGTCTATCATCTGCAGGATGAAAGCCTCTTCCGCATGTTTCCAACCAATATAGTCCTGAGCTTTCTTTTGCCGATTTCTTTTATTGTTATCACTTACCATTGAGATCTGTTGGCCAAGGTATATGTAGCGGTCTAGTTCTTCTGATATAATTTTTTCTTTCTTTGGTGAATTTATTTGGCTCTTTTTCAGGTTTATTTTTAAGCCAAATGGTTCTCCTGCTTTGTGCAGCTCTTTTATGTGTCTTTGTAGCTCTTCTGAGTCTTGTAAGAAGAGAACAACATTATCTGCAAATCTTAAGTTATTTAAATAAGAGCCATTGATTTTTATTCTATCTTTTGCCCAATCTAGTTTGCGAAATACTTCTTCAAGGCCGGCTGAGAAAAGGATAGGTGCTATTGGATCACCTTGTCGTACACCTCATTCTATGTTGATTTTCACTTTAACATCATTAAAGCAAATAATCGCTATTGTTTTTTTTTCATATACTGATTGTAGTAAGTTTATGTAAACAGTGTCTATGCCTTGGCTGAGCAATGCATTAATTATTGATTGCTGGAATACTGAATCAAATACCTTTTCGTAGTCAATGAAAACAATGCACCGAGACATGGTGTACTTGTTGTGCCTTTCAATGATTTGCTGAACATCCTGGATATGATCCATTGTGCTGTAACCATTTCTGAACTCTGCCTGCTCCTTTGGCTTTGCATCATTTAATCTTCTCAATACTCATTTTGCTATTATCTTGGTGAAAACCTTGTAGATGATTGAAAGAAGACTTATTGGGCAATAGTTCTTTAAATCATCTTGGGGCCCTTTCTTGTGTATAAGAATAACTTCAGCATTTTTCTATGCATCGGATATTTTTTCTTTTCTGAGGCATCTCGAGTATAGTTTTGCTAGTATCTTGTGTAAACTGAGACCACCAACTTTCAGTATTTCAATCATAACACAGTCATTTCCTGAAGCTTTGCCATTTTTCATTGATTTTATGGCACTTGATTCCTCCTCCACTAGGATATTTGGCATTTCTTCTTTTGTGGGTGTTGTTACTTTTGAGTAATCTTGATCGTTGTATAGCTCTAAATAGAATTTTCCAATTATTTCCAACATTTCCTATCTTGTTCTACACACAAGAGCCATCTTCACGTTTTAATGCAATAGTCTTATTTCTTGTATATATAAGCTTCCATTTTGCTCTATTAGTCCCTTTGTTTTCTTCAATTGCATTTTCCACAAGCTTCACATTAAACTGATGCATTTCATCTTGGATACGTTTTCCTAAGGTCTTACAAAGTTCAACATACTCCAATTTATTAGTGAAACTTCAGACATTCTTCATTGTCCATTGTATTTGTATTAAATCAATAGTTTCATATCAGAGACTGTACAAGGTGTTTTTCCGGCAGTGCTATAGATGTAGCAGATTCAAGGATGTTTTTGACTATTTGTTCATTTTGGTCTGTAATATTCATCTCTTCCAAATCTTGCAGTAGAGCAAAGTGATTTAGATTAATCTCAAAATCACTGTTCTTCTCTAACAGTTTGTCACTCTTTATTTTTGTTTTTTGTGATGTCTTTATCATTTTCATATGCACTTTTTGACAGTCTATCTTCACTTTAGCTCATACCATTCTATGGCCACTTCCAACATTAAAACGATTGATGACAGTACAATTGCAGGATATGGTTTTATCACTTGACACGATGTAGTCAATTTCACTTGTGTACCCAGATGGACTGTTCCATGTCCATTTTCTGCTAGCTTTTTTCCTTGTAAAATGAGTTCATGATATACAGTTCCTGTCCTTCAGCAAAATCTATTGGTCTGTCACCTTTATTATCTCTTTCACCACTTCCATACAGGCCAGTTGCTTTTTCTCCAGGTATTGTTCTTCCTTGCATTAAAGTCACCGATTAGTATTTTGTATTGGCATTTTTCTTTGTCTTGAAGGCGGGCCACATTGTCGTAAAACTGTTCAACGTCATCAAAACTATAGCTTATTGTTGGCACATAAGCTTGGAAGGTTTGAAACTTGTATAGTTTGTTCAATTGAATGATGCATTGAGCTATTCTGTCTGATATACTTTCAAATTTTACAACAGAGTCTTTCAGCTTTTGGTTGATGAGAAAACCAACTTTGCCAAATCGTCCATCTTCGGTATCTCTAGTGCCCAGTCCTATCAAGTTCAACTAATTTTTCACTTTTTTGTCATGTTTCACATAATCCAATGATAGCCCAATGGATATTGTTAAATTCAATCAGCAGTTCTTTTAGGTGAGCGTCTGTTTTCATTGTTTGAATGTTGACCATTCCTGTCCAAAGTCCAAAGGCAGCCTGATTTACCCTGATGATTCTTAGCACCCTCTGCCTTCACAAATCTCTATTATGTCTTAAATGCAATATTTTAAATACATATCTTAAAAATAAACTATAAGTGCTATATAATTGTGATTTTTATAAAATAATTGAACATATCAACGCATATGTAATTGTGTTCTGTTCTTTTCTTATGCTAAAATCTTTACCTTCAATTTGATAAAAAGTCATTGTTTACTTTTTTGTATACTGCCACAACTGAACCTGTTTCTCAATGTTTTACATCAATATTAATACAAATGAAACACTAAATAAATAAAAATAAAAGGTGATTATGAAAATATCACAAAAACAATACATCAGTAGCAATTATAACAAAAACAACAAGTATCATTTATTTTTTTTCATAAAGCTTTTCAAACAATTCAGTTTTCAGTTTGGCTCCCAATATTGCAAACCTGCATCTCAACAAGATAATGTAAGTTGATGACATAAAACAACAGTTTTCACTTTGTACTCACTCTTACAAAGTTGTCAGGGAACAAACCTCTTCTGCCTTTGAGCTGTCCTTCCCACCAACCTCCATCTTCTTTTCTGATGTTGGTGATGATATCACCTACAGTGATTGTCAGCTCATCATCATGTTGAGCCTTGTAGTCAAACTCCACTATCGCCTCCACTAGAAGGGAAAATATAATGATACAGTACAAAATTAGGGGGGGGGAATCCAGAATGATTTCTCTAATTTTTAAAATACATGAATGAATACCCATAATCCAATCAGCAACATTTAACAAATTACAAAACTGTCCAAAAGAGTCAAAGTAAAATAAAATTGTTTCTAGCAACAGGGACTGGTGGGGAGTTGCATCAGGCAACCTATCTAAAATTAGTTTCTCTCCATTCCCTTTGAAAGGACCCTAGGATGCTTAACTATTTAAACTATTATTAAATAGTTGTGAAGAAAGAAGGCCTCATGCAACCCAAAACTGCCTTGGGTAGGTCACAGGGGCCTGTTAACAGAAAGAGAATACTGCCTGAAGGTAAGTAATACATGGCAGATCTTGGGGATCACTGGGCCACAGGGGAAATCATGCCTTTCCCAAAGGCTCACACACCTTGGGGAATGAAGTGAAGCAGCCTTTTTGAGTGACAGTGGTGAAGTTGAAGCCCATGCCTCAACTTTGGGCCAGTCTTGGCCCTGCCACCAAGTGCCATTGTTCAGAGTGGCATAGATGGACAGGGACATAAAAAATTGATTCTCTTTTGTTTGGGAGTGGGTGGGTGTGACATGTCGCAAGAGTCAAGTTAGGCATTTTATAACTAAAAGATTCCACACCCAAAAGATTCAGTGTTACCGATCTAACATGATCGTATCCATTCCTTCTAGTTGAAGGTAAAATATTATTTTTAGATCCATTAAAACTAAAGAATGTTTATTTTGATTCAGAAGGATTGCATAGTATCACACTTGTTTCTGAGAGAATGGAAAAGATGTTTTATTCTCACAATTCGTTACAATATTGCTCAAAAAAGCATCCTGATACAATACCAGTTGCTTTAAAACTGCACTTCCAAAGTAGATCAGGCAATCATTGGAACGTTAAATCATGACAACTGAAGCTGCTTGGATAACCAGTGAAATGTCTCAAACTAGCAAGAAAATAAGTCCAGTTGCCATGACTCAGCTTTCAGATAACTTTACCTGGATGATTGAGAATCTTCATTGACATATAGCAGGCAATGTTTCTGATTAGTGCAAAAATACAAAAGTACTACAAATATGTGTTTGTTGCAGAGTAGGGACTCAATATACAGGCAGATATCAGATATTGTTAATATCAGTGTTAACCTTTGTTAAACAAAAGCTATCTACTCCAGCCAATACAATAAATTTACTATTATAGTATAATGGCCATACTGACTACCTAGCACCTTTTCCCAATTTTCCTAAGAATCTGTTGCACTGCCTAAGTTTTCATAACATTGTTGTTTAAATCTCTACTTTGAATGACAATCATATAATATTTTTATAGCCACTTCTCTAGACTAACATATCCAACTCATTCAACCATTCCTCAATGGATATGATTTACAGGCCCTTTATCTTTTTTTATTGGCAACCCCTATATATGCTCCATCACAGCCCTCTTACATTTCAGTGCTCTAAAATGCATGCAATAAACAAGGTGAAATTAGCAAAAGCAGAATATCCTTTACTTCTGCTGACTGATCCTAGGATTTTAGCTGTCATCTATCATCTCTCATTTCATATTTATTAAGGCTGGACAAATATTTCAAAAGCACAGATTTCGAAGGCACCAGAGTTCCCTATCACAAAGCACCTCTTGAGAACAATTAAACATAGGAGACCCACGTTAACCAATGGTGGCCAAAAATCAGAAGGAATCTGATAGCACTTTAACTTGATACCAAGTTAACAAATTTTATTAAAAGTCATAAGACTTTGTGAGCTGTAGCTCACTTTACAAGATACAAGGCCTATTACATTCACCCTTGATCCTTTTTGCCTATATTGCTGTCAAATCAGTACAGGTTGCCTCAGCTTATGACCACAACTGGGAATGGAATTTCCACTGCTGTAATATAGTCCATCATATTACCATGTCAATCTTACTGAAGCAGCTGTCTTCTATGAACTGAATAAACATTTTCTACCTTTACCTTTAGAAAGCCAGTTTGGTGCACCAAGCTAGAAATCAGGAGACCATAAATTCTAGTCCCACCTTAGGCATGAAGCCAGTTTAGGCATGAAGCCAGTTAAAATCAAGGCAAGTCACTTTCTTTCAGCCCTAGGAAGAAGACAATAGAAAGTCACTTCTGAAAATGTTGCCAAGAAAACTGTCAGTATTTGAATGAATCGAAGGTACATCCCCACAAACCTCTTTATCTGACTCAATTATGATGATGTAGATCATCATCAGCACATGGACACAATCACTCCAGTAGTCACTAATAAACATTATAAGGCAGTGTTTCATCAACAGGTGAATCCTAGCACAACATTTTTACCCTCTCTATGTATATCAGAGCATATTTGTAATAATATGTGGGAAAGACTATAGGAGACTGGACAACGAGACACTGACAAGGGAATAGTCAGATAAGAAAAGACATAGCTTGCAGGTGGATAGTGGATGGGGGAAAGGCTCAGAAGAGACCCTCCCAAGTTTTTTGGGCTGTAAAGGAGATGGTGCAGAATTGTACTTTCAGATTTGCAAGATTCTGTTAATGTAGCTTTACAATCAAGGAGAATTAGTTCCTCTGGTCATGTTTCCTGCCTGGCCTACCTTGCAAAGCTTACAATATTAGATTTCTTAGTGTTTAAATATGGGCCTGCTCATCAGAACACAACATTATAGGAATAAGAATGAAATTTGGGTGATTTATCTTGATATATGTTTCAGCCTGCATGTATCAATGAATATTAGACTTCTTGTTGTTTAAATAGGGACCTATATTTCAACACCTTAGCTTAAAATATAATATTGCTATACTATTTGTAGAACTATTTTCATAACTATTTGTTTACTCTCTTTCACTATTACTTTGTCTAATACTTTGCAAAATATACATTTGGACCATTTCTCTGACTCTTTAGGACCCAAGTCTTCTTGAAGATATGCTTCAGCATATTTCCTTATTTAAAGAGCAAGTCAAGAAATGCAATAATGTCCAGTTTTCTGTGCAAATATTTATGCAATCCATTACCACAGGACTTGTCAGGAAAACATGCAAAGGAAACCATCAGGGAAATTCAACTATAACAATGGTTAAATGTTGTACAGTTGCTATAGTTTATATGGCCATTCGACTATTATGTATCAGATGAATACATTAATATTTACTGTGGAATACCAGTCTACAAAGTAGCCTGTTCTGACACTTCACACAGGAAAAAGTACACTTCTAAAAATGTTTTGTTTTGTTTTGTTTTTGCTATACAGTAGAAACATTTTATTACAAGTTTTGCAATACAGGCTCAGTGATCACTGGTTGAGACTCTTGTTGCAAGAGGAAGAGAGGGTTTCATACTGCTTTACTAAGGAAGCATATCTTGCAATACATGCCCTTCAGGAATATTTTAGCGAGGTAGAGAATATTTCCCTCACCACATAAAAAAAATAGAAAAGCACAGTGAAGAAGAGATAATCCAAATTCTAAAGATTTTTATTTCTTCAAAAACCTTATGTATTTTATAAAGATATAGAACTTGTCACCAGCAATTATTTTGACTAGTAAACCAAGGATATGCACAATGAACGTTTTCTGTATATATTCCCAGAATGCCAATTGATGGGAAGTTCTGTGATGTAAATGGAGATACTTCAGATTCTTAGGTGCCAATTGGTATAAAGGTCTTTGAAGGCTATCACAGTTCTAAGACTTGAGACACTGATTGGTAGAAAGATTTGAAAGGAAGGGGAAAACTCCAGATTCTAAAATGTTGATTAGCTGGAAAGTGCTAAGATCCTCCAAGGGTGGCGCCAGGAGGAAGTGAGTGTTACGTGCGGGCATTGCGCTCTGTCTCTGCTAGACACTCTCTTACTAGCGCCCGGGCATGAATAATGCCACGCTTCAGTTGTTCCATAACACTCTTGCTACCTGCGTATGTAGGTCGGATCTCTTTGCCCATCTCTTCAATTACAGAAAGCAAATCTGTATATGTGCTCTGGGAGCCTTGGGCACCTGGTGGCTTCATAGCCTGCACATAGCCCATAGATGGGGGCCCAAAATCATTGAAGAGAGGTCGAAAGGGGCCAGATGTTCCAGGGACAGAGCCAGATGGCGATGGAACACTGGTAGCGACCGGCGGGTCTCTGGGAGCGGGATTGGCACTACTGCTGTTGGTGCCGGCGGCTCCTGAGCTGGTAGGGACAGGCGCGATAGGCTTCTTGCTATACAGGTCTTAAATAAATTGGAGTAATAATAAAGTTGATATAAAAATAAGCTTTTTAAAGTTTTACTGCACTTGGTACTGAGGACTATTAAATAAGCAGTTCAAAAGAAAAAGCTGGAAAACTAGTATATAGTAACAGTAAGCAAAATTAACCAAATTAAGATGAATTGCATGTCATTTAGTAATGTTAAAATACTGCAAAACAGTTTTGATAACAATCCACATATGGAGAATAATTATAGCAATTACTAGTTAATTTCAAGAATTATGTGTACAGATCTAATGGCATACTTCAAATATGAATGATACAAATACACTTTGTACCATTATTTTTCTTGTATTTAGAAAGTACTGTCTAATTCTAAACATAAAACGGCTTACAATTTGTATACTCAGTAGTAACACAGTAATAATGCTAATTTAGTATTTTAGCAAAAACTAACAGTGATTTCTAAACTCTTACTTAAAAAGAGATTACATATTGATCTGTCCATGGCCAGATAAATATCTCCCCAAAATGTGGAGAATTCGTATTTGCTGAACAATATTTTTTTTAAAAAAAAAAAGTACAGGAAAAAATCAAATTAATCTGTCACATAGGTTTTTATTAGTTTATAATATACAACGAAAATACAAAAGTAAATAGCAGAAAACATAGGGAAGGGAAAACGGAATAGCAAAGTGAGGGAAGGAAGAAAAAAGAAAAAAGGCATTGACTTCCAACTTCCTTTGGTGCAGTAAAATAGAATATCAACATC